TACTTGGACAACTAAATCTTTGTAGAACATCAGAGGAAGAGCAACTCGCGCACTATTCGATGCAGCATTCTCTCCTCTTTCTAACAGGTGTTTTTTGTTTCCGATTCGTTTAGTTTCTGGGGAGAAATCATCATAACTCATTTTTTAGCGAGCCCCAAGCTGTACCCGAAAAACTCGAAATTTGATATTTCGAACCCGCAGACCTCACTTACTTTGTAAAATTAATGCTAACTCATAGTACCATTTTGGTAGTCTCAAATTACGAAGAATTATGATGTTTGATGCGATTGTGGCTGAGGTGGGCCTGCCAAAATCCGTTAGTTCTGTTAAAAAATCTTAAAAAAATATTGCGGTGAGCTACGAGAAAGAGAAAAAGTAGTACCGTATTCTATAAGGTTTACTCTATCGAATCGTCACTTGAACTCCTTCTGAGGATTGATATGAAAGTTTTAAAAAATCGTGAAACTTGACCACCTCAAAAAGCATGGGTCGCAGATTTCGGTTATTTTCTGAAAGCTCCACTATTTTGCAACAATTTCATAACATTTAGAAAGAGAATGAAATGTTGCATCGAATGCACCCAAGATCTCTTAGAAAGCTCTGTTCCATCAAATGTGGCGCCCGTTTGAAAAAAAGCGAAATTACTCTCGGAATGACCTAATATATACGCCGTTGCCGTATTTCTTCCTCTGTTAGAAATCAAGAAAATGCAAATTCTCGTGCATTTGCCAAAGTGATGCTGTGCTGTCCCCACATAGGCAGTTGTAGACTACAATCCTGTAGAAGTACAAACGTAAATTTTCAGCTCTGTGCTAGCCTTGGTTTACGAGAAATATTGAATGTAGCTTTCCCAAGTCAAGGGGTCCAAATTGAACTTCAGATTTCACGAGAACTATAGCTTATAGAGAGCTGAAAATTTACATTTGTACTTCTACAAGTTTGTAGTATACAGCTACCTATGTGGCAGTGGCGCACCGAGGGGGGGGGGGCGGGGGGAAGGGGGACCCCCCCCCCCCCTCCCCGTCCCCTTGCCCCCCCCCCTCCCCGAGAACGGGTCGCGAAATTGTTGCTTACATGAGCTGTAAAATTGTGCAAATGACTTGTTCATACTTGTAAATGACTAGAATATTTTTTGAATTTTTAAAAATTCAAATTAGCCTCATAAAAAATTTTTTTCGGGGGCTTGGCTGACGCCACGCCCCCTTTTTCTGGATTTTCGGGGTTATGAGGACGGGAAAATTTTTGAAACCACCCTCAAAATTTTTTCGGAGTGTGTGGCTGACGGCACGTATTTTCATTAGAAAAAATTTTTTGTCGCCCCTATACGAATTTCGCAATTCGATTTTATTATTCTCTGCCCCAAAATGCGCTTGTTTTTGCATATGTTTGTGTGGCTAAGTAATTCTTTGTACAGCAAAGATTAGGAATGTGCAGATGTTAGCATCAGATGTGATTTCACCATTTCTTTCGCGTATCTGTGAATTCATGCACAGCTGTGCCTAGATGATTTGGTTTCAGGCATACAAGTAGCTGGCAGTGCACAGTCAGAGTCAGTCGCCATACAGTTTTCGCCTCTTACTTCAACATTAGTTTGAATCATTTATTTGTGCCTTCTTCCAGTCATATCATTTCTATTTGTAGTTCATCATTTAGCAATACATTTTGTTATTTGTTCTACCCGTGTTTGTTGTTCTCTGCTTAATCGTGTTTATTGTTGCTATTTTGTTGCCAGATAAAGTTTAATTACCCAAGTTTGAGGTGTGCTCGGTATACGTCCCGCGTGACAATACTTTTGGTTGTGGTTTGGTATTCGAAGCCTTATAGTCCTGACTATATCTCCACCACTAACCAATACACCCCCCCCCCCGAGCCGAAATCCTGGGTACGCCACTGCTATGTGGGGATAGCACAGCATCACTTTGGCAAATGCACGAGAATTTGCATTTTCTTGATTTCTAACAGAGGAAAAAATACGGCAACGGCGTATATAGATGTCCTATATAGACAGTATTTACGTGGGCAAGTTAGAATTTTTGTAGGTTTTTTGATAACAGAGTTACGATTCTTCTCGATTTTTTCGGGCAGTTGTTTAGTTTTTGGCTTAAAACTCGAGATCAGAGCTGTCGCTAAAGCAAAATTGCTCTTTTGTAGAGCATGCTTTGCTCTATTGAATGGTACTTTGCATACTATCTAGCAATGAGAAGTGTATGACTTATTGCGGTTGAAATTCAAAACGGACAATAATTTTCGGACAACCTAATACATATATACATACATACAACAAGTAGACATGTTCCTTCATATATATTTTTGGAAAAAAATAATGCCGCCTTTTATTTCCTGGTCGTGGCATCGGAATAAGGCAAACCCCAAAAAGTGAATGGGATACCGATCGTTAGAGCAAAGCAAACTCCACAAAACGGTACTACTACACGGACTTTCCTATTCGTATCGTACTTTGTGCCCCGAAGATATCAACAGCGGCTGAAACACGAACTTCCTTACAGATGTCATTGCTTTTCTAGCTGTTAGTTTATCTGTGGAATTCCCATGCTTACTGGTATTTTGTTTGTATTCGTCCGCTTACATAAATGGCTGATACAGCTTAGTGGAAGCTGCCGCATTAGCTTATCTTTTTTTACTATTGTTTGGCTCTGGATTATTGTGTCACTGTGCTCTTTGCACAATTGCTCCCACAAAACCACACTTTCTCATATCTACTTCTCAACTCATATTTCCCCTATGCTATAAAGTTTAATTACCCAAGTTTGAGGTGTGCTCGTGCGTATACGTCCCGCGTGGCAGTACTTTTCAATACTTTTGGTTGTGGTTTGGTATTCGAAGCCTTATAGTCCTGAATATATCCCAGCCACTAACCAATACAAGTGTTGCATCGACCAAATCAAGAGGTATGCAAAAGATAAAGTGCATCTCGCTTGCTTTGCACGATACGCTTTGATTGTTGCGCGATAGTGGATCACCTGCACATACTGGCATTGCACGGAATTTCCTTTTGATCTGCACTTGCATAATGACAACTACAGTAAGGCGTACAAGGGACTTATGACCAAGAAGCCAAGTCGCTTTGGCATGGTTGAAAGAATCCACACAGCGTCTTCAACACCTGAAGGAAAAAAGTACATGACACGAACAAGTCAAGGAGTTCACAATGGCTGTGGCGAGATGCGACGAGTATCTCGAACTTCTCGAAGCCTCTTTAACCAAGCTCACGGAAGCCTTTAATAAACTTCAGGATACCACAGACGAGGAAGAAGATCAGTTTTAGACAAGCACACGAAGATTGCTCAAGAGACTATCATGAAGTTATACGCGCACAAATTCAATACCACGCAGATGCTACAAGAAATAACGACGGCAACTACGCTCCGAACAAGTGGAACCGACCACCAATGTTCGGCAGCAGTTAGCAAACTTCCAACTATACCTATTCCAACCTTTACAGGAAAGAAATGGGAGTGGGACAACTTCTGGGCCATATTCAAAGCCAATGTACACGACCAGGATTTAACAGAATTGCAAAAATTTAATTATCTGCTGTCAGCCCTGAGTGGGGAGGCAAAGCAATCGATCTCGCGGTTCTTCGTATCAGCAGACAATTACGAAAAAGCCATACAGCATTCGGCGAAACGCTGTGGCAAAAAGAACGGCATTATTTTGGAATCGAACAAAAGCCTACACAACTGCTTAGCAAGAGGACCTAACCATCGCAGATCAGCGTCAATTATGGGACAAACTTTCAAGTCGCAGCGCAACTAGAAGTACACGAGCAACACCTCAGCAATCAAATAACAATCCAAATCTTTCTCCAGAAGTTCCATGTACGTATTAGGAAAGCAGCTATGGAGAAACGACTCAAACACAAAGAAGAAAACAATAGCGAGTGGACATTGGACCAATGGCTCGACGCCATCGACGACATCATATCACAATCACAAGAGGAACAAATAAACCACATGCTCTCGATCGAAACACAAACAAGAAATTTTGCAAATCACAACACGATGGCGATGAAAACACCTTCAGAACCAACCGGCATATGGAAATCAAGCAACCTATGTGAGTGCTGTGGAGGAATTGGACACAGGTGGACAAATTGCCCGCAGATTCCTGCAGCAACACAGATAAAACGCTTCTTACTGGAGTCCAACAGGTGTCTCAACTGTGGATTGAATAGTCACAGAGTAGCGTTATGTTCGAGCAGCAACTGCCAAAAATGCAACAAAAAACATCAAACCGCAATATGCTCAAAGAAGATGCCTGACGAAACAACACAAAGCAGACTACAGCATAGTCAGCGAGAGAAGCCAGATGCTGCGGAAACACCCAAGAACAAGTTGAAAACGGCAGCAAGACCTTGCAGTTTTTCAAAACAGTATGCGTTAACGGAGGCAATTGGACGAGAAACTCAACACACAACACGGGAAACAACGAAGAAAGCCGAACAAGAAAATTCGTCAGTACTATCGCTTCAAGGAAAAAGTACACGTTGGTAGCTTGTCGGGTCCCCCTTCAAATAATAAAGCTACGAAAAACGCAATGGCACCTGATGACAAACGCGTCGTGAATGAACTGAAACGGCAAGCCAGTTTAACCGAATCGTCCAATTCGTACAACGTGCAACCTCCGAATAAGAGATCACCAGTTGTAATCGCCAGTGCAACAATATCAAAGGACAAGTTTGCGTCGTCATGCTCAGAGGCTAATTTATACATGCATCCGTCAGTCGCAGCTTCCGCGGAAGCACATAGGAAGTCTGCTGCAACGAGTTTGGCCCCTTTCAACGATTCCGACACCAATGACGATGCCCCGTTTACCGAATTTTCTGCAAAATATGATGATTTCATAGCAAAGCCGGACTTGAGCCGAAACGTTGCTTTAGAGAACGAAGACAAAACGATACACAAGACATGGAAGGAGTTCCTGGACTTCAAAGAACATGTCAAACGACACAGCAAGAGATTCTAGACTCGACACAAGGGATGAGCCAGTACTTCGAAACCTTCAAAGCATGCGGCATGAAGAGTGGAACCGACGCTATCCGACAAGAGATCCAAAAGAAGGATCAGAAGGCCAAAAGAGGACTGCTCTTGCAAAACAACATTCATCAAAACTGGCTAGGAATGAAAAAGCGGAGGTACGAAGGCGAGGCAGGAAGCAAAGCAGAAGTGAAAAAAGACGAGGGAACATCCTACGAGCTTCTACACTATCACAAAAAGGAGAAGAAAGCAAAATAAGTTATGCCAAATGCAAGAGAAAGCACACACCGAAAGGAAGTTTTTCTTACTATGGAAAAGGAAAACAAAAGAACATCACACAACGCCAGCGACAGATGAGGAAAATTGAGCAGAATCCGGATCATCTCTCCTGCAACACGCCCCGACGTGAACGTGAAATGCCATGGAACTAGAAAACAGCATCTAGATGCCTGCTTGATTTTGCTTGGTGACATAAGAAGAATCGACGTTTAGCATGGAAGCAAACCTTGCCGATGAGTCGCAGTCCGTCACAGTGAGGACCGCACAAAACAAGTCTCATGTTTCTACTGCAGAAACACAAAAGGTGACGCTGTCGTGCCTAACCACCATGCTATCTGCGGGATGCTTGAAGAAATTGCCCACAAGCAACGGAAACTTATGCGTCAGGCGAAGAAGGTCAAGGACAACGTAAAAATAGTTCCCAAACGCACACTACTGTGCGACGAGAAGAAAGGAGTGGCGTGGAACGCGAAGAAAGGAAGACTAAAAGCGAACAGTGCAATCCAGACCCAGTCAACCTGATCTCTCTTGCGAGGCCGGAGTATACGAATTTCGCAATTCGAATTATTATTCTCTGCCCCAAAATGCGCTTGTTATTTGCATATGTTTGTGTGGTCGAGTATTTCTTTGTACAGCAAAGATGAATTTAGTAGCTCGCACTGTTTTTGCTGTCGTAGGAATGTGCAGAATTAGCATCAGATGTGGTTTTCACCATTTCTTTCGCGTATCTGTGTATTCATGCACAGCTGTGCCTAGATGATTTGGTTTCAGGCATACAAGTAGCTGGCAGTGCACAGTCAGAGCCAGTCGCCACACAGTTTTCGCCTCTTACTTCAACATTAGTTTGAATCATTTATTTGTGCCTTCTTCCAGCCATATCATTTCTATTTGTAGTTCACCATTTAGCAATATATTTTGTTATTTGTTCTACCCGTGTTTGTTGTTCTCTGCTTAATCGTGTTTATTGTTGCCATTTTGTTGCCAGATAAAGTTTAATTACCCAAGTTTGAGGTGTGCTCGGTATACGTCCCGCGTGGCAATACTTTTGGTTGTGGTTTGGTATTCGAAGCCTTATAGTCCTGACTATATCTCCACCACTAACCAATACCTCCCCCCCCCCCCCCCGAGCCGAAATCCTGGGTACGCCACTGCTGTGTGGGGATAGCACAGCATCACTTTGGCAAATGCACGAGGATTTGCATTTTCTTGATTTCTAACAGAGGAAAAAATACGGCAACGGCGTATATAGATGTCTTATATAGACAGTATTTACGTGGGCAAGTTAGAATTTTTGTAAGTTTTTTATTAACAGAGTTACGATTCTTCTCGATTTTTTCGGGCAGTTGTTTAGTTTTTGGCTTAAAATTCGAGATGGATCAGAGCTGTCGCTAAAGCAAGATTGCCCTTTTGTAGAGCATGCTTTGCTCTATTAAATGGTACTTTGCATACTATCTAGCAATGAGAAGTGTATGACTTATTGCGGTTGAAATTCAAAACGGACAATAATTTTCGGACAACCTAATACATATATACATACATACAACAAGTAGACTGTTCCTTCATATATATTTTTGGAAAAAATAATGTCGCCTTTTATTTCCTGGTCGTGGCATCGCAATAAGGCAAACCCCAAAAAGTGAATGGGATACCGATCGTTAGAGCAAAGCAAACTCTACAAAACGGTACTACTACACGGACTTTCCTATTCGTGTTGTACTTTGTGCCCCGAAGATATCAATAGCGGCTGAAACACGAACTTCCTTACAGATGTCATTGTTTTTCTAGCTGTTAGCTGTGGAATTCCTATGCTTACTGGTATTTTGTTTGTAATCGTCCGCTTACATAAATGGCTGATACAGCTTAGTGGAAGCTGCCGCATTAGCTTATCCTTTTTTACTATTGTTTGGCTCTGGATTATTGTGTCACTGCGCTCTTTGCACAATTGCTCCCACAAAGCACACTTTCTCATATCTACTTCTCAACTCATATTTCCCCTATGCTTTATTACTAGCGCATTGCTTGCTCGTGTATTGCTCATACTTTTAGACATTGTTTTTATATAAAGGTTTAATTACCCAAGTTTGAGGTGTCGCAGTCAACTGGGTCTGCAAACCAATCGACGCAAAGTCCCGCTAGGCATTACACAGTACTGAGCAACCGTAGAAGTGGTGCATTGCCTAACGACAGTACGATTGGTCTGCATCGAGTAACGCTCGTACTAAAAACACTTGCACATTACTCACAGTGGCACAGTGGCACATCGAAAGATAGTACCTCAAACACCATTACCCACTCATGGCTAACACAATAAGATGTCTCAAAAGACTAGTCACTATAAGAAATATGCTGCATCAAATTAGCTGCAGCAGTTGATACAGGTGCCATACAGTGTATGCACCAAAAAGAGAGCAAGACATACGACCCGTGACAGACATATCGAACTCCTAGAAACACCCCCTGGTGAAACTAACGAAGGCTTTCGATGAAGCCCCAGATACCACGGAAGAAAGAGAGGATTACTTAGATAAGTACCTCAAAAAATGAGGCGACATTCATGAAGCTGGATGAGCACAGAACCCGATTAGAACAAGCACAGGAAGATAGGGTTGAGACAAAAAGCACAAGCCTGGTTGCACTCAACCAGCTTCCCATAATCCCGATTTCAACTTTTACAGGAAAGAGGTGGGAATGGGGCAATTTATGGGCGTTGTTCAAAGCCAATGTGCACAAGGAAGATCTCACAGATTTTCAAAAATTCAACAACCTGCTCAGATACTCAGTGAAGAAGCGAACATTCGGTTGTTTCGCGCCTCTCCGTATCCGCCAGATTACGGAAAGGTCACCATTTAGACAGTCAGAGTGTGTGATGAGGGGCGATAAATAGCAGCATTTTCAGTGAGGGGGTGGCATACTGCGAAAGTGGCAGTGAGCGGACGACGATACTGAAAAAATGGCGGTGAGCGGACAGCGACCTGCTACCAGCGGGCAGCTATAATCTTTTATAAGTCAGAAAATAGCTGCAGAGGCATTTATTGGTACAAAAGCAGCCAGAAGTCGGCGACGAGGCAGCGAATATGTTAGAATGGCAGCGACCGGGAAACGATGGGGATGCGAATGCAGGACTTCTTTGAGCGGGCCGCATAAATGCTGTGAGAAGGCAGCCTTAGTTCGTAACGCTGTATTGTGGCCGCCAACTGGAAGCCTTGTCGTCCCTCTCGAGACCTCGCTGATCGCACTATAAAAGTTAGATGTGCAGGCAAGCGAGATTGACAGTTTGAACTTGCTTCACTTTTGCTTTCATTCATAGGTGCGATAAGGTGAGAATGACCCCTCTAGGGCGAAGGGGTCACAGCAGTCGCAGCCCCTCCGAGTGGAGGGTGTTTCACTTGGTAGAGAAATTATAGAATGTCGACCGGAGGGGAGGGGGGGGGGGAAGTCGTGGTGTTCTCTTATCATTCTTCTTAGTCAAAGTTTATAATTTTTATTCCCTGCCATCGCTGGTCGCCTTTTTTCTGAAATGTGAACCGATATGCTGCTGGATAAGCAAATTATATTTCTGATTAGCACTTTGTAATCTTTTTATATTTTCCTTTCTCTTTTTTTACATAACCCTGCCCGTTTTTGGAATTACCATTGAAAATGTGCATGCGAGAACATTTGTTTCGGAAAGAGTTAGATAATTTTTAAGCGTTTACGAATTTTCCAAAAGAAAAAATTCGAAGTTTCTGTAGATGAACAGCAACGTCAGCAAGGAAATTTTACCCAAAACCATCTGGTCCTCCGCTTTCGAAGGTTATGTAGTTTGCCTGGAGTCTGAAAGGTGCTTGGTGAAGGGTATGGGTAGTGATTTCTGGATATTTACGAGTTTTTAGAATAAAAAAATCCATAGCTTCTGTACAGGGTGCGCCACAATTACTTGCGCGTGTATCATTAAGCGCTATACGAACATAAGACCGGCTCAGCCAGCGATCAAGCTTGATATTGTTTTCTTGGTTCTACAGCATTGTATCCTAGTTGAAAAAGGTAAAATTGCCTGTTTTGCTTTTCGGTAAAAATTCATAACATTTCTCTGCCATTGTCGCGTGCTGCACGCGGGTAGAGGCCCACAAACTTGCCCAGTATGTATCTTTTTAGTGATCGCTTCTCTCAGGTGAAGATTTTGCCATTAAATAGATTTGATCTTTGACTTCAAAATCACTGAGGTTCGGAATTTTTAGGAGCATTCAAAACAAAAATTTTGATATTCAATAAATTGTGCGTCAGCTTGCGTTTTTTCTGTCAGGAATATTGCTTTTTGCAATTCTTACTTCTTTGAATAAAGACCGACTTGGGATCTTGATAGTGCCTTTTGTGGGGTGTGCTTAGGGCATTCTGTGACATTAAATCGAGACCAAATTTCTCATTGCCATTGTTGTGGCATTACTTTGAATATTTTGGCGCAGATAATTTTGACGCACCCTGTAGATGAACAGGTAGTTACATGGAGATGGTCACCGTTAGAACCTTTCTTGCGCTTCGCTTTTAGAAAATATATAGCATGTCTGACACCGTTAAAAAACTGCCTGAAAATGTATGCTAGTGATTTTTGGAGATTTTTGAGTTTTTATATGAAAAATTTCATAACTTTTGTAAATAAACATCTTGTACGCCGAGGTGGTCACCTTTGGAAACGCCTTGTCCTTTGCTTTCAGAAAATATATAGCATGTCTGAGATCCTTTAGAAAAATTCCTGGGTGAAGGGTATGCTAGTGATTTTTGGAGATTTTTGAGTTTTTGATATAAAAAAATTCATTTTTGTAGATGAAGGTCTTGTACGCCGAGATGGTCACCAGTGGAAACGCTTCGTCCTCCGCTTTCAGAAAATATATACTTTACCTGAGGTCACTTGAAAAGAGTGCCGGGTGAAGTGGGTGAGACTTTATAATGGGAGAGCTCAAGTGGAGGCTTTTTTACCATTGTGAAAGGACGTCTACTTGAGCATCCCATTATAAAAGTCTCGCCCACTCTTGTTATATATTGTTATTCTCATGTTATATATTTTCTGAAAGTGGAGGGCGAGACGGTTTTAATGGTGATTATTTCCCTCTACCAGCTATTCAACTGCAAATTTGTGAATTTTTTATGTTGAAAACACGTAAGTGTCCAGAGGTACTTTTATGAACGGACTCTAGGCAAATTATTTATCCCCCGAAACCAAAGGGGAACGTTATACCACGGAAATTTGCTCGCTGACCTTCTCTGCAGCTACAGAAGCTTCTATTTTTTTCGTTCTCGAAATTCGTGAATGCCTATAAATCTTCCTCGTCCTTTCCGATACACAAACAATTCCCGCACAAATATCTCCTTTGCTTATCTTACCTCACTGTTGATTTTTCTTCTCGGCTTTCGGTGAAGGGGATCACCTTGTTCCCGGTTCAGGGGTGAAGGGAGGCTGAGCAAATTCTCACACTATCCACCTACTCAGACAATCGCCGGGGGCAGGCGGGCACCGGAAAAATAGATGGCTGATTTCTCGCACCCCTCTCGCGGATTTTTTGGAAAACAATCAGAATTATTAGGAACGCCGCTTGCTGAGTTCTCGATTCCTCAGAGATTCAGCAATATATCTGCAAAAGATAAGAGCGAAAAAAGACTCAACAGGCGGTCTCTCAAAAACCCGCTGACCATTCTCCTAAAATTTGCGAGTGGAATGCGAGATTTCAGCAACGCATATTTTCCGGTGCCCGCCTGCCCCCGGCGATTGTCTGAGTATGGTTTCATTGTTGCCTCATTTTCGTTTTTATATATCAGGTTGGTCCGAAAGTTCGCACCATTTTCAAAAAACCATAACTTCTTTGCATCATAACGATTTTGCAATTCAAATTTTATCGGAAAGCGCAAAGCATGTAGTTTCCGAAAGTTCCCTGGTGACTTCCCAGCATGTTCAGATTGCAAAGATAAAAATGAAAGAACGAGATCATCCGAAATTCGGAATTTTTAAGCAAAAATTCTAGAAATTCATAAACTGTGCGATAAAATTCAGAACAGCCATCATCCTAAGTTCTCTTATATTTAATCACTAACTGAGTTAAGTTTGTGTTGATCGAGGTCTTCCTTCAAAAGTTATGATTTTTTGAAAAAAAAATTCCGAAAAATCACTTTCCTAAGAATTCTTAAGAGATTGATTTTTCGGCATTTTTCTTTCAAAAAATCTTAACTTTTGAAAGAAGAGTTCGATCAGCAACTTAACTCAGTTAATAATCAAATATAAGAGAAATTATGATGATGGCTTTTTTAGATTTTATCGCACAGTTTCTAGATTTTTAGAATTTCTGCTTAAAAATTCCGACTTTTGGATGATCGCGTTCTTTCATTTTTATCTCTGCAACCTGAGCACGGTGAGTCAGTGCGAAAGCCTCAAGCAAGGTGAGTTAGTGCGAATTTAGGCATAGAGAGGGCGGATTATGGTTGCAGTTTCCAGGAGTCTTTTGGAAGCTACATGCTTTACGCTTTCCATTAAAATTTGATGCGCAAAATCATTGTGAGGGAAGGAAGTTATGATTTTTTGAAAATGGTGCGAACGAACTTTCGTACCAACCCAATATTATGTTATTCGCGTATTTACTTTACTTGCCTAAGCTGCAATTGCTCCCTTTTGTACTATCTCATTATCACAAAGCACTTCTGTTAATGTCTCTTTTCTTATTCAGCCTTTGTTCGTGTCTTCATTGCATGTACAATCGCTACAACTATCATGCATCTCTCTCTCATGCTAAAAACGCAATAAGTAGAAGATCACATTTCACACAGCGAACATATGGCACAATGAACTCGGTTACCCTATTTTCAGGTGTATAAGCCGCGGGGTGGTCCTAGGTTACATCGATCAGCCCGAACACATCAATGGAACTCGCATCCAAAGAACCCTATACCGTGCTGCGTATTGCCTGAAAGAATCGTGCGGCATAAGGATCGCTTCTCGAAACACAGTGAAGCAGCTGAGCAGCCCGGGCGAAACTTTAAAAAAGTGCGGCTTATACTCTTGAAAATAGGGTACTTGTACTTTGACTTACAGAATTGCTGTCTATCAAAAGTTCAATGAAAATCCATAAAAGTATATTTAAACTGCTGGATTCAGTATTTGAATTTCAACAGCAAATTTTCACATCTTTTATAGATGCGAGAATGGCGAAAGTAATACACTTAACCATTTCCTTGACTTAGTAATAGTTCTAAGTAATTGAACGCACTCCCCACATTGAAGGAAGTTAATCACTAAAAACTACTAAGTATTAGTGTGATAAATCAGGTATTAATGTGATAAATATAACAACACGGTGATCTTTTGGCTGATATAAGTAGGTCTCGTAAGGAGTTTGATTGCTTTGAATTAAGATTCGTACAAATATAAAAGGTATTTAAGATTTTATTACATCGTCATACACTGCGAGGATAAATTTCTAGCTGACTATTAGAAGTCAATCTGTTGCCTTTCACTGCGTTTACATATGCTTTCTCAAAGTCCTTTGTAAGCGGTTATCTCACATCGTGTATGCGGTTTTCTCATATCGTACATCAGCCTAGATTGAGTCTTGAGTCATGTACCATCGGTATCAATTCGCTTTGGTGTTCACACACCAAAGGCGGGCATCCACACCTGGCGCTTTGCCAGTCGTCATCAGGGCCCGGCACAAGGTGGGCAAATGACAAGCTAAAAGTCGTTTTGGGGCCAAAAAGCAAAGGGGTATCGTTTTTGCGGGATCCGGGGCGGAGCCCCGGAAGGAGATTAAGTGCAAGCAAAGGAAGGTCGAATCTTGCTTACCTTATACATCTAATTCATCGAAAAATAGTTTTCATAAACCTCAACGCACAGCAGACTTCGCGCGCATCACTCCGCGTTACCGCTAATCGCCGCGTGCGCGACGTCGCATGAGCGATGCCGTTGAACAGCATGATTACATGATCAGTTCTCAAGGCAGGTGTAATGATATAGCACCAAATTACGTAAGCGAATAAAGAGAGGCTAGTAGAAACAAAGCATGAAATGTTATGAAAAACTTATGTGAATGGGAGGTGTAATAAACATTTTTTCCAAAAATTTCGCAAAACTGGTAAATAAAGATTGTCAGGCCCAGGGCCACCGAAGCGAAGACCGATTTAGATCAAAGGTGATCGAAGGCGCGCGATCGGACGGCAGAGAGGCCGCAGGCCAGATCTCAGTTTAGTGTTTGTTGTTCCGACGCCACGGAACGGTGGCGTCCGTCTTATTTCGTTTGTTTTGTTTTCTAATAAACATTTTCTTTGTCCTTGTTCTTTGCTCGCCTAAAGGGTATCATCCCTTACATGGGGGCCGAGCCACTTTCTGCAAATCAGTAATTTTCGCCGCACGTAAGGGCGAATTTCGAAACCATCGCTGTTTTGTTTTCGCCGCACGTAAGGGCGAACGCTGAATTTGTCGTTGTTGTGGAAGGGAAAGCACAACTAGAGTAGTTTTTGCAGAAAGTGAATGGAAGCGAGCAAAGAAGCTCAAGTGTCGGAGGAGCACATGGCCACAGAGAATGTGAGTTTCTATGATAGCATAGAGAGAAGGATTGAGAGACTAAGAAAGGATTTGGAAAGGGAGAGAACCTGAAGAGATACAAGTGTGATGACAGAGCACAAAATTTCAGCCAGGTACAAGGAAAAATATGAAATGTTCATAAGGGAAAAAGTGAGAGAGTTGAGTGGGGAACTAAATGAAATGGCAGAACAGTGCCGTAGTATAGAGGATGAACGGGACGATATGTCCGAAGCCATGAAAACATTAGGTATACAATCAGTTGAGGATTGTAGAGAGTTTGCAAGGGTGGCTGAGAGAAACAGGGAGATTCTGGCACAAGCATGCAATATGCTAAATACTGATGTGCTTCAGGTGCCGGCAGCCATCCAAGACCTCAAAAAGAAGGGATGTGAAGCAGAAAAAGTCAAGCAAGGTGAGTCAGTGCGAATTGCAGTAGGCATAGAGAGGACGGATTATCAAAGAGATACGTTACAGCCCCAGCAGCACAATCCAAGGCGGATTGGGGCGCAGTGCGAACAAAACTTGAACAACTGTGTGTCGGGATTACCCAGTTCGCATTCAAGGGACAAGGACGTGGAACTAAGAGGTCAGCAAAATGATTTACGATTTCTAAATTATGTGGAGTCCGGATCCGGGTGTTTTTTATGGGAAGCCCAACGAAAATTTCGGGGAATTTGTTAGAAAATTTAAAAGAAAGTATTCTAAAGTAATCACAGACACAGACACTTTTGTAGATATACCAAGGGATAATCACTTAGGCGGGCAGGCAAAGAATGTAATGAGGACATTAGCACCCACAATAAGAAATAAGGGGGTTTGATGAAGTGATTGAAGAATTGGGAAAAATGCTAGCAGGGGATTCGATAGCTAGTAGGATGAGGGCCATGGCTGAGCTAAGGTCTCTCAGGATCAGACCACACCAAGATGTCGCAGAATTCTGCGTTGCCTTGGAGAAGATAGGTAGATCGGCTCATCCAGACAGAGCCTTGGAAGAAAACTCGGTGGAGTACGCCGAGATCCTTCTGGATAACTTAAGGGATTGGCCCGAATACGTTCATTTGTTAGCAGCGTTACGTAGGGTACCGCCTAGCGAAGCATACAACGAAGCGAAGCAAATGGCGATTAGTATACAGAGAGCAAAGGGAGGGGAAGCCGCGCACCGTTTTCAACAAGACGGAAGGCTGAAAGAGCCACAAGTACATAGAGCAGCAAGACATGACACGGCGAGAGTAGACAGACAAGAAAACAGCCGAGACTTGCAGTACACACAACAAGGCAGGGGCATGCAAATCGAGGAGGAGAGACATGCGTATGCAGGGACCTTAAAACAGAGAACGGAACCCAGATGCTTCAACTGCCTCGAAACAAGGCATTTTGCAAGAGATTGCCTACGAAAACAGAACAGTGGAAGAGTGGCGCAAACCTCATATGGAAACAATGTGTCTGAGATCATCAATCAGATACGAAGCTGCAAAGTCGGCATTAATGAAAGCACAGAGGGGGACATCAAACGGATAGGAGAACCAATCATAGGGAAAGGGTAAAAGGATACAATGACATGATGAGTCAGAGAAAGCATGAAAAGAAGTTACGACAACAAGAACAAAGTAGAACCAGACCGGCATCCTAAAGTAGGAGACCGGTTGTACGCCCTGGCACCAAGGGAAAAAGGCAAAAGCACTCACCCATTTAGAGTTCTGGATACTAGCGATAATTCAGCCCTAATACGCGCATAGGGGAGAATAGGGATCCTATACGGATACAGTTCGATAAGCTAAAAGTAGTTCCAAATTACATACCTGATGACAGAGTCGACACCCAAGCAATGAGAGGGAGAAGGGGCAGAAAAAAGAGAGTTTTATTGAGTAAGGTATGCAGAGTCAAAGTCATTCGTTTCAGAAGTGTATCGCTGCTGAGCCCACTTGAAAAAGGACATCTGCTCTTGAAATGCGGAGACGACTGTTTTGAGGATCGAAAGCTCGGGGATATCGAAGGAATTAGTTTCCCGGGTGCAGTAGCAAAAGAACGCATCGAGAATCTATGGTCCGTCTGGCTAGCTTGCAGTATCTTCAGCCGAGGGGATATCGATATGGAAACGAAAATCAAGTTTCATAGAGAGGGACACATATGTTTCGACGCGGAAGCTCTGAAAGCTGTCTTGAAGCTCGCATACGATACCTGCATCGACTGGACAGACTTTCTTTGCAACACAGATGCGATTACGAAGCACGCCAGGATCGAAGGACATTCCATTGGGAGATCTCACAACGAAGCATTGCAAGCATTTCGTCGAGAGATTGAGGGACAGTCCATGAAGGAGCTACCCACCAAATAAAGTTAAAGACCAGGACCAGTTAAATACGCTACTTTTGAGGGAGGAAGCCCCATAAAAAGAGATGGCATTCATTGAAGAGTGGCTACGAAAGTAGCAACGACATTCGCTAAATTGCTTGACATATTGGAAGGATGGAGCACGTACAAAGCCTGGGTGATAGTGTGGCCACAGGATAGTAATCCAGCCGATGATGTTCCGCAAAAGGTTTTGGTAGCAGCGAAGAAATACCTCGAGGAGGGAGGAAAAATAGTCACTGCATGGCCACCGATAACGTCGAAGAATCATGATTTGTGGCTGAACTGTCGGGATTATGGAAGAGCTTTGATGAGACGCTGATACAGTGCGACAAGGGGAGTCAAGTCTTCATAACAGCGAGCAATTTTGGGATGAAAGAGAAGCTGTTTTTAGAGGCAGGAGCCCCGGAAGGAGGCGCGCAGTTCTTCAATAGTTACGTGGGAACCGCCATGAATAAGCATATTTACGAATGTATCAGAAGACGAGCAGTGGATGCTCACCTGCCCGAGTTGGACGCTTACAGACCGCGCATCAAGACATCGAGGGCGATGTCTCCAGGCGGGGAGGGCGTGTCAGATCCAGGGCCACCGAAGCGAAGACCGATTTAGATCAAAGGTGATCGAAGGCACACGATCGGACGGCAGAGATACCGCAGGCCAGATCTCAATTTAGTGTTTGTTGTTCCGACGCCACGGAACGGTGGCGTCCGTCTTATTTCGTTTGTTTTGTTTTCTAATAAACATTTTCTTTGTCCTTGTTCTTTGCTCGCCTAAAGGGTATCATCCCTTACAAGATGTGAATTCAAATGGCTCATTTGCAGCGCACAGATGACCATAAGGAGTGAAACTTGGTAGGTACATGAACACGGGCCTGTAGGGCTTAACTTAGAAGTTTTATTGAAAAATTATGTGAATTGTGGCAAGCTTTTTTCTGAAAATTTCCCACTATCAAAAAAATGGAAAAATGGCTCGTTTGCAGCGCAGAGAAAACGATATCGCGCGAGACTTGGTGTGTATACGCGCAGTAGGACTAAGGAACAATGTATGAAGAATTATGAAAAACTTATGTGAATGAAGAGCGTGCTTAACTTTTTTTTAAATTAGGTGGGCAATTGCCCACCTAATGCCCACCTGAGGTGGGCAAAACTCTCGATTCACATAATTTTTTCAAAATTTTTACATAAATCTGTTGTTCACTTAAAGTTTACTATATGGTGAGATTTTGGTTCCAAAACTCCTCCTCTTGTCTTTGTTAGAGTCCAAAATCGCATCAGCAGCCTAGCTTTCTAAGATGAAAAGCGCGCCCCAGTTAATCGATACGCGCGGAAACGGCGTCTCTCAGTCCTATGACTGCGTTCCTTTGATATTTTTTCATTCGTCCATCATTTTCCTTGCTTATCCTTCTGCCTGTTTTCTATCTTGATACAGATGAGGAGTAATTAGAGGAATTGGAGCATTTTGGGCGCTTTTGAGCGCTTTTAGGCGAAGTGTGGCCGGTAGTCTCGTTCCACAAGCACAAAGCGTCATTTTTGGGCTCAAGGGGGTATTCGTGAAAACTATTGGGGTCAAAGGGGAATTCGTTTTGGAAAACCCCGTCTGCCCACCTCGTGCCAGGCCCTGGTCGTCATCGGCTGATTTCGCACTCTATCAGATCACTTTGACTAGTTCTTTCAATTTCGCTTTCCTTTTTAGGATTTCCGCTGGAAAAGTGATGGGCCGGCCCGAATCAGACAGATATATATGGCGTTTTTGCAATAACATCTAGAAAAGTGATTTTTCCTTATCTAATATTTTGCTGCGACTTCTGACTTTTTCTTTTGTTTCCTTCAGCTTCTAAGAAAGTCCGAAAACAGACCAACAGTGAAATTCACTCTCCTAGGTGTTACTGCAAAGCGGCATATACGTCTGTCTGATTGAAGCCGGCCCATTACTTTTCAGCGGAAATCCTGACAAGGATAGCGATAAAAGATAAAAGAACAAACCAAAAAAGGACCTAATGGGCTGCGAAATCAGATAATGAGACTGGCAAAGCGCCAGGTATGAACGCCGCCCTCGTGCATGGGCGATGCAAAACGTGTGCACCAAACCAGTGGGGCGCGAAAAATACCAAAGCCAATTGATACCGATAATACATGACTCATGACTTGATCTAAGATGATGTACGATGTGAGAAACTCGCTTACAAAGGACTTTAAGAAAGCATATGAAAACGTAATAAAGGGCAACAGATTTACTTCATATGAGTAGATAGTGACTGTTTGTCCTCGCAGTGTATGACGATGTAACAAAACCTTAATAAACTTATGCATCTGTACAAACTTTATTAGGCTGGAAACTAAGTTTTGCAACTCATTCATTAACTTTCCTCTCACTCAACATGACGCACTCAAATTTTGCAATTGAGTTGGTTATGGCATAAGCTACAAGTGCAACTGCTGCTCTACCAAATTTTGACGTCGCAGTAAGGGTTACGGTAGATATATCGTATGAAGGGAAAGATTATAAAATTTGATAGATTTGGCTGAAACTTGGCATAGGGGGTTATCCGACATGCTGATCACGAAAAACGATGCTGAGGTGATGAGGGCTTTTTTGTAAGATTACTGCAGGTGTACGGTTTAGGGTCCCATCATAAACAAAGAAAGAGGCGTTGATTTAACAAACGAATATGATATCCGTGTTTAGCAGGTTAAAGAGCCTCACTATGTTAAAAGTCGGGGAATTTTGTAGTTCTGATACTTAGTCATTGATGGTTTCCATCAGCAGCCTTGCGTACAGTTCTTTCAAAACTGTGAGGGCGCCAAATCTCGACTTGCCCCTATTTTATTTCTTTTTTAGTGAGCCGATTAAGTCAACCTCTAGCAACAATTAGTACACAATTTCGGATTATTGCGCGTGGTCTAGACTGTTAACAACTTCATTTTGCCTTAAAACCCCAAGCATTTTTAAAATTTACTAGTTTTAAAAATGCCTGGAATTTTTCTGATTCGTTTTCAAAATTCAAGCAGCTTTGGTCAACTCTGGCCCACACTACGCTCTAAATACCGCCCAAGTTTGAGTGCGCTACATCCAACAAGAGTTGATGAAAGTGGTAAACTTAGTTTCCAGCTTAATAATTTGAAACGATTAGATTCCTCATAAAAATACTTCTGTCAGCCTTATCGCATTACTGCTTCCCGCTGAGAATCATAGAAGCGAGCGGGCTACAAAATGGCACTGAGCGGGACGCTAAAGCTGGCAGCGGGCGGATTGCTATAAGGTTTTCAGCGGAAAGCGAAAGTGGCGGCAATAAGGGCACGACGCATTTGGTGGGTTTTGATGGTGGCTTTGTGGCTGCCGGATGAGAGTATTTGATTGTCTGAGCAGGTGACACGGACATAGGAGTGGGATAGTAAAGCAGCTGAACAAAAACCTGAAGAAGTGTTCGGTGAGAGGACCTACCACATTGGAACAACGGCAGTTGTGGGAGCACCTTAGCAGGAAATGGTCAGAACTTAATCCAGCTATACCAAACATGATGCATATACACTGGACTGTTCTTGGAACGCAATCACGGATATATGCTTATTATCTGCCAAGCGCCTATCTGGGAGGAGTTATGAGCGTTAAAATGTTCGATTTACCAAGTGTTCTGTGGCGCACGTTCCACGAAACAGGTTTTAAAAACATTTACTTAGCTTTTGGTGAATGTGCTTTTTCCTTGTTATCAATTTTACCTTGGTCATTGTAAATCCGCGCCATCAGGCTGCCTTTCAAGAAAATATATTTGTCGAAACTCGAAGAATTTCTCATATGAACGCTCATAATTCTCCCACAATCGCTTGGCAGATAAAAACCTATGAAATTAGCGTTTTAAGACTAGTCCGACGATACACAGTCTATTCGGAATGGCTGCGCTAACTTCTGACCTTCTGACTTCTGTTCCTCGTCAGCACGATAGCAGCATAGTTGGAAGAATACGAACAGCAACTGAACAATGAGTTAACGATCAATATATTCTTAAAAAAGTTTCATGTGCGCATACGAAGGGCGGCAGTGGTTAAACAGTTAGAATGAAGATTGTCATAAGTGGACACTAAGCTAATGGCTAGACGCCATTGACGAAACAATTTTACGAGAAGAAGAACTAAATGGCAGACTCTCCGCCGTAGAGACGCAACAATATATTAGGTTGGTTCATAATTAATGCACGTTTTGAAAATAAGTCATATACTTTTCATTCTTATATAGGCTTCAAAGTGCCGTTGGATAGAGCAAAGCAAGCTCTACAAGATGGCATTCATGTCTTTGCGCCATGCTCGATCCACGGAGAGTTCGAACTCAAAATCTAAAGATTTCCAAATGCCCAAAAATCGAAAAAAATCAGATCTTCGTCCAAATAATTTCTACGGACCTCCCACTCGCTCACATCAATACTATCGATATCTGATATCCATATGTGCGATTGCCGTATTTTTTCCTTGACTAGAAATTGAGAAAACGAAAATTCCCTGATTTTCTGAAAGCAATGCTGAGCCGTTTTTGCATATGTAGTTCTATACTACTAGCCTAGATGACCATAACTGTAAATTTTCAGCCTATTTCGAACGGTAATTTTCGAGAAATGTCGATTTTAGCACTGAAACTGCAACGAAAAAATCCGAATTCGTTATTTTTCGAAAACTACTGCTTGGAATGGGCTGAAAATCTATAGTTATACTTACCTAGGCTTGTAGTATAGAACTACATATGCAAAAACGGCTCAGCATTGCTTTAAGAAAATCAGGGAAATTTTCGTTATCTCAATTTCTAGTCAAGGGAAAAATACGGCAATCACACATATGGATATCAGATATCGATAGTATTGATGTGAGCGAGTGGGAGGTCCGTAGAAATTATTTGGACGAAGATCTGATTTTTTTTCGATTTTTTGGGCATTTGGAAATCTTTAGATTTTGAGTTCGAACTCTCCGTGGATCGAGAATGGCGCAAAGACATGAGTGCCATCTTGTAGAGCTTGCTTTGCTCTATCCAATGGTACTTTGAAGCCTATATAAGAAAGAAAAGTGTATGACTTATTGCGTTTGAAATTGGCTGAAAACAACGCCTTTGTTTGTTGATGGACAGCTTGCCAATGGCATGCCGGTGGCATGCCGGCGGCATTTTTGCGGCAGTTCTCCGCCTCGGCCCCTGTAGAAACGATATCCCTTTTGCTTTCCGCGCTAAAAACGATATCCAGCTTGACCCGGTGCCAGCTGTGCTAAGCCCTGAACATGGTGCATAACGCAAAATTTGATAGCCAAATAGCATGGCGAGGAAGAAAGTAGAGCCATATTACCTCTTGTGCACCGTGGCAGGGTGCGTTTTACGAGATGCTGCATTAGGAAATTGTTGTACGAAACGTTTGGAGCGCTCGTCTTGGCTTTCGATGAATTCATGACGAAGTGACAGACAAGGAAGTGAGGTCCAACTCTCGATGGCGCCATCCAACTCTCGACGGCGCCACGAAAGCCGCACAAAATTCGGTACGGCACAGGAGGATTGAAGAAGTCGCTGAACGAAGGCAATATCGTACTGCTCGTACGCTTTGGACCAAATCGAATGAATATTTGATTATTGTATCAAATCATTCGAATGCGAATGTTTTGAAAATTCGAATATCGAAAATCTGAGATTTCAATATTCGATAGTCGAGTACTCAAACTTCATTTTCGAATATTATTTGAAAGTCGAATATACGAAAATCTCAAATCGTTAACATTATTCAATAGTCGAATATTCGATAGTCATTGATTCGATCATTTGATGTCCATCGAATATATGAATTTTTGATGGATACCGAATACGTGAAAATCAAATGAGAATTGACTATTCGAAAACTTGATAAGCATCGAATGTTCGGAAAATCGATATCCTAACATAGACGGGAAGTCCCATGAGTATCTAAACACTGTTTGATCGCTAATGCCTTTCACCAAGTTTTTGAACTCTCGAGAAAAATTTTGAAAGAACTCTTGCGTGCTCTTTACAATAAGGACGTGCGAAGCAAGCGTTAGGTCCAAACTTCCTTGTATAAAGTCTTCCTCACTCTTTGTGCTTTCTCTATCACCTTTTGTCATTTCTTCCAAATATGTTCTATCAACTGCATCATTGTAGGCATGAATTAAAAGGCTACAGTCAGGGCCCGGCAGGAGGTGGCATTTCAGAATTTTGAAAACGATATTCCCTTTGAAGCCAAAATTTCTTACGAATTCCCCTTTGACCCTATTTTTGGCCCCCGTAAGTCCCTGACAAACAGATATACACAAATAATAAGATGGGCGGCCTCAGCGCTTATTATAGTAGTACTACCTGGCTTTCCTGGTCCGGCCCGGGTCATCGTTTGAGAGGATGGCCAAAAATTACACTTACTAACGACTTATTAATAACGACCCAAAAGAGCGAAAGTACGGAAAAATTGACCATATTGCGAAAACTGAAAAAATACGATTACAAAAACAACTTTTTTGCATAGAACATTACGATCAAATATGATCGCTGAGCCTTCTGAGCCCTTGTAGGGCTTATCGAAGAAGCAATCGGTTGAAGACTGAGAAGATTGCTTCAATCAGCGATCAGTAATCTAGCAAAAAGCCAATTTCTCAAAGTTTCCGCGTCGTCTGTGCAAGGTGCACAGATTGCGATTGGAGCGCGCTTTCCGAGGCCGACCATAACGCTGTGAACCCTATTTGGGGCTGTATCGAAGCGGTGCCTTGGTGGTTTTGGAAGCGGATTTGAACATGTAGTAATACATTCGACCTAAGCCACATTTATGTAAAGAAATCCGGGAAATTATGTGAAGGAAAGCAGGGAGCCACCCCAGGTGGCTCCCAGGTGGCGCGGGAGCCACCTAATTTCGAAAAACACTTACCATTTTTTAAATTCACATAAGTTTCTCATAATTTTTCATACTTTGTTACTTAGTCCTACTGCGCATATACACACCAAATCCCGCGCAATTTCGTCACCTCTGCATTTCAAACGAGCCATTTTTCCATTTTCTTGATAGTGGGAAATTTTCAGAAAAAACCTTGCTACAACCTTCAGTCACATAATTTTTCAATGAAACTCCTAACTAATCTCTTACAAACTTGTGTCCACGTATGTACCAAGTCTCGTAGCATGCCGTCATCTGCGCGTTGCAAACGAGCCAATTGAATGCGCATCTTCATTTACCAATTTTACAAAATTTTCGGAAAAAATGCTTATTACTCGTTCCGTTCACATAAGTTTTTCATGATTTTTCATACTTTGTTTCCATTAGCCTCTCTCCGTTCGCTTACAAAATTTGGTGCCATATCGTTACGCATACATTGAGAACTCGTCATTTATGCGTTACAAACAGCATTGTTTGAGCGACGTCGCGCGTGCGGCAGTTAGCGACGGCGCGGTTTTACACGCGCGAACTCCAGTGTTCGCCTGTTGAGGGACATAACATGTTAAGATAAGCAGCGAGCATGAACTACCAATTTTTTTCCGGGGCTCCGCCCCGGACCCCACAAAACGACTTCCCCTTTGCTTTTTCGGGCCAAAAACGATATCCAGCTTGTGAAAGCGCCACCCCCGCCGGGCCCTGGCTACAGTAGTATGAGCTTCAACCATCATTAAAAAGTCACACAAATGTAAGACGTCAAAGAGATTAATGAATTGAGTTGCGATGAAAGTTCGGTAGCTGTTTGGTTGTTAGATATTAGTGCGTCATCCCTGCCTCGTAGGGGCTCGCACTGGTCCTACATATCATATGCCTCACTCATTCTCGCATAATATGGCACTAAAACTCACCGCGCAATGACCATCACGAATAAATTGTAAACAAGCACTCATTTCGAAAGCGTTCTCAAGATCGATAATTTTGCGAGGGTGAAACTTTTCGCAGAAGAACAAATGCAAATTCAAATAGTTTTCATTATTTTTCATGGATTGTGGTCGCCATAAAGACAATAATCACTTTGAGCTGCATCTTCATGCAAATTTCAAAAGCTCAGATCAAAACTTGGCAAATTGACCTTTAAAGCAACCAATTTTTTGGCGCCGTTTCTGCAAAGCACTATACTTTCAATAACCTGTTTCGGCCAAAGTCCATAACTCGCAAATTTACTTGCCAAAATATCCACGATTTTGAAAAAATGACGATACGGACCCCCTAGTCCTTCTATAAGGTGGACTTTCATGCTGGTAGCATGCACTATGCAAAATTCGAGTTCAGGACGTTGGCTCACACGCTCTGCGGATTTCGTAACACACGCACACAACACACACAATACACACATCACACACAACACACACAACACACACAACACACACAACACACACAACGTACACAACACACACAACACACACAACACACACAGCACACACACACAACACATACAACACACACAACACACACAACACATACAACACATACAACACACACAACACATCCAACACACAACACACAAAACACACACAACACGCACACAACGCACACAACACACAACACACACAACACACAACACACACAACACACAACGCACACAAGTCACGTAAACACTCTTAGCCGGTTATTATAGTTTATGGTAGCTTAACAGTTGTTTGATAATACTTACTTATGCTTTCCTGATGAATGTTTTCGGTGGTGCTTCGCACGTACGATGGATGTTCTGGTGTTATCGAGTACAAAAATGACCACTAAAACATCTTGGCATCACATTTGTAACTAACTAACATTTGGGAAAAAGCTTTCATTTATCTTTTGCACTTCAGTATGTCGCAACTGTGGCAAGATGAAAAAAAAATCTAACCTCCCCCTCTCTAACGGTCTTACGAATATTAGGCAGAGGATATCCCACGATGATGGCGGCTACTGCGTAGACGATCACTTGGTAGGGCCACACATAAAGATTGAGTTCCTACAACAGAATTCGAATACTTTGTAGAGGGCAAAGAAAATGTACACTTACAGTGCGTTTCTTTTCTATGTCTAACGAGTCTACAATCACCAATAACTGAATATTCCTATGCACATCACAGTACTGCCAAGCTCAATAACGAAACTCACACTACACAGAAGCGGCAAAAAGGTGTACCAGTTCATATAGATGCCACTGGTTGGTTTCATGGAACAATAACGAGTTTTATCCTCTGGATACAGTTCCCATAAGTCTCTCACATATTCGAATTCTCCTTAAAATATTTGCAGCGAGGAATAGTAAGAGCATAAGGCGAAGTGACCTAGCAATCATAGGGGTAACAACTATGCAAGACTATCAGTAATGTAACTGTTATCTCTAACTCTAGTTAGGCTTCAGCGAGTTGTACCATAATCGTACATCATTGCACACACCTAGGACCAGTTTTATGTACCCGTCCTGGGTTGCAAGATTTGAAGCATCAACCGTTCAATAGAAGATAGACTTAGCCATTTCTTTGTTTGTTTACAGTTTGATCATTTTTCCTGTCTGTGTATATGAAACGCGAATTTTGAATTTTGTAAGTGTAGTTCGTTGAAGAAACCTTTCATCGTAACTCTGATTGAATTCTTCCTTTATAAAATAAACACTGGTTATGTTATATAGCGGTTGCGGCGATTTACTGCGTCCTTCTAATAATTCAATGATTTTGAAGGCCCATTGGTAAGATAAAGTGTATCAGTTGTAGTTAGAGCATTTCACCAATGTAATATAAACAAGAGCGCTGAAGCACATTTCATTCATGCAATCAGGAGGGTGCGATGACAAGAATCTGGATTACCCCCCTCCCTTCCGCTTTCCCCTTCATCTTGAACGAAAGAAGAAAAATTTTTTGAGATGGGGGAGTAATGCGAAATTGAAAATGTAAAGCGAAAAAATAAATTTCATGAGGTACGAACTTGGAATGTTGTTAATATGATTTCAACCGCGGACAATAGACACTGGCGGACACTCAAAGGCTTGGAGGGCGCTCATGAACAGTTCTGCCTGGAACTTACCACTATGGATGAACTAAGACACTTTGCGATTGTTTTAAACATATTGTTGCAAATAAATTCGTATGTCGGTATGTATGGAGTATAATAAGAAGATTTTGTTGGTGTTTGTGTCCACTTAAAGCAGAATAAACATATAGAGTGTAGCACAGTGACAAGAATTGTGTAATTGATGTTGGAAGAAATTCGTAGGGCAGTAAAGTGGCAGTTGTTGATGATAATTTGGTGTTGATGATATTTCAGCAAGGTCAGTTTATCATTATAACTTGAGTAATTTGCAGCAGATTATTCTGCGAGAGTATGAGCATAAATAGGAAATCATTCCTCTATAATATGCAAAAAATAGATCCTGAAAAGAAGTTATCGTCGAGTTATAAAGCTGCAAATAGACCAAAAGTCAAGACTGCAAAAATTCTTTTTTGAAATTGATTTCTGTGTAAGTAAGTGAAATTGGGAGGGAAAGACATAGATAACTCTACTCATCAAGAGCTCTCGATTGATATAAGCATGTGGGGGCATTATGTTTTTTTACCTCCTGCGAGGGTGGGTGAGCCTGCTCAGTTCAGCGTGCTTACCCCCCGGCGCCTCTTCAATACATTAAGGTGGCGGGGGTGAGCACGCTGAGTTGAGAGTGCTCGACTGCTCTTTAGCAGTTCGAAGGAATCAAACTCCCCAGCTTTGTATATCAATCGAAAGCACTTGAGGTGAGGAATTCATTCATACCTTTACCTTCAAATTTTGTCTACTCAAATAAAAGCTGTGAAGCCGATTTTAGCTGGGTTTTTTGCAGCCTCATATCTCGATAATGTGCCATTTTACAATTTACTTTTTTGCATCATGTAGAAAAAAGGTTTACTGAGTATTACCTATACCCTCGCAGAGAGAGTGGATACAGTGTAGGAGACTTACAGCAAGGAAAAGGAGACGCTTAAAAACACACGTTAATTTTGATTTTAAGTCAGACGGTTGCGTGGAACCTCTTTGCGAGGGCATAAGTAATACCGAGTGAACCCTCGCATATAAGATGCATGAAAATTAAATTATGAATTGCTCCCATCATCGAAATATGGGGCTCTGTACGTTCAGAGGGGGGATTAGGACCTCGAAAATCACATCACCTCTCAAAAACATTAGACTTTACAAATTATACATCATTCTATAGCTTTTGGAAAACAGATTTTAAATCAAGCACAGTTTTGCCTTTAGCCCAATATAGAAGAGTTATAATGGAGAGTGATCTGTCGCAAGTTACTCATATATTCTTGAAAAACTGACCTTGCCTTAATCATCAACATCCTAAATTCACCTTTACTGCCTCAGAAATTTCTCCTAACATCAGTTATACTACATATTCTTGATAGTGTGCTACACTCTATATGTTTATTCCGCTCTAACAAGGCAAGGGAAGTTCACTCAGTCGAAATGACGATTTGGAAGGATATCTATAACGGTGGATAGAGCTTAAAACGCTGATCTCAGATATACCTTCTATATCTGCGATGCATTGTTCTGAAAAAAGTTGTGAGCTTTTCTAAAGCCAAATTTTCGTGCATTTTGATTCGCAAAATCATGCTAATTTTTACACAAAAGAGTGCAAGCTTGAGCAAACCACCTAGTAAGCGTTGTAGGTCTAATTCAAGTTCATCCGAACGGTTTCGAGTGTTTCCAACCATGTTGTTTATCCAAAGGTCGCCATTTCCTTTCTAGATCACACATCCATTATGTATACAGAAAAAGCCCATAACTCCATCTAAAAGAACGCGTCGCAGATATTGAAGATATATTTGAGAACATCGTTTTACGTTTTATCCACTAGTAATTTCCAAAAAGTTTCCGACGCAACGAGCTTTTCTAGATGGATGTCATGTGACTTTTTTGTATATATAATGGAAGAGTGATCTAGGAATGAAAGAATGTGGATGAACAACATGGTCGAAAAACACTCGAAAGCGTTCGGATGAACTCGCATTAGACCTACAATGCTTATAGGCGGTTTGCTTGAGCTTGCACACTTTTGTATAGAAATTATCTTGCTTTTGTGACTCAAATGCACAAAAATTTGGCTTTAGAAAAGCTCCTAACTTTTTTTAGAACAATGCATCGCAGATATAAAAGGTATATCTGAGATCAGCTTTTTAAGCTCTATTCATTGGTGCAGACCTCCTTCCGAATCGCAACTTCGACTAAGTGAACTTCCTTTGTAAGTGAACACAATTGAGCAACAATTTTTTTTATTGTACTTCATGTATACCGACATCAAAACTTATTTGCAACAATAATTTCATAATCACCGCAAAGTCTCTTGAACATACCCACATTTGTAAGTCAAAACTAAAACTTCTTCAGCACCTTGCAAGCCTCTGAGTATCTGCCAGTGTCCACTACCCATGTAATTTTCTGTCAAAATCATATTTTACAACATTACATTCGATTCACCTAACCATGTATTAGGTTGTAACAGAATTAATGCAGGTTTTTCGCGCACCTTTTCAAAATGCTGGTTTAGAAAAGAAAAGTCCCAAAGAGTTTTGCATATCATTTGAAAGTTCTTTCTTCTAATTTCTTATGAATTCTTTCGTTTCAGTGGAAGTGAATTTGTCTAGAAGTTCTGAGCCCATGAATTTAAGAAACCAGTTATCGAAGTTTTTTCTTTTAATATATCTGGCTCTGAAAACACCACAAACAAGCGGAATTCGCTGCAGATTTACACAGTCATTTTAGTGAGTTATGCTACAAAATGATGTTGAATCATGAATTCTGATAACATTTGAGCCGAGAAATTTCAAAGCAAAATCCAGCGGTCGCTGTGGTCCGTCTGCCCTATACAAAAATCCTCAGCGCGAAGCGACTGCGGAGCTTCCGCTTTGTATAGGAAGAACAGATTTCAGACATTTATGGCTGAAAAAATCGGGAGCCGTGCTCCCTACTCAGCTTTAAAAAAATTCAAAAGTTTCAGAAAACGATTTTTCAAATTCTCAGAAAAGTCGAATAATGAGTACTTTCAAAATTTTTTCAATTATCTCTCGCGAAACAGTGAGTTATATTTGCGCTACCTTACTACATTTGATAGTTATGGTTTCTCAAAGTAAAAGTTTTCAAAAAATTCTTGGCAGAATTTGGGCTATAAGATTTTTCTCAGTGAAGCTACAACAACACAATAATGCATACTGAGTTGAAAAGGTCTGCTGATTACAACAATTCTTGTTGCACGCGAAAAGACTGTATGTGTGAAAACTTATAATGATCCAAACACAAAATTCAGAAAACGTGCATTAATTCTGTTACAACCTAATATTTTTTTACGGAAAAGTGGTAAAAAAGATCTAATTATTCAAACTGAATGGTTTTTGTGATTTCAACATTTTTTATGACATCCCCAGTCGATGTGGCAAGTTTGCATGGCTTTTCGAACAGCGCTATTAGCCTTCCTTAAGCACAAAGTCAGGAGAGACATGGCCTTGGGAGTGATTTTGCTGACAAGAGCTCAATTGAGTGCCAAGTCAAGTTAAAGGCAATGAAATTATTTACTTTCCATTTTCATTTTATCTTTTCCGCAAGTCGGTCACAATAATGTTAGACAAGTTCTGGGCTGTATTCAATGAATTTTTTCAGGCACTTAGGTCGTCTTGATTTCTCATATCTTTAAATAAAAAATCATGTACCCATCAATCTCATCTTACGTAAGTTTACCAAGTAGCCAAAGCTTTCACTTTCAAGTTTT